ACTAACAGAGCCTAAAGATAGTTATGTGGCCATGGTGTTGGGGCATGAGGAGGGGTGGGGTGCACAATAGGGTTTTGCAGTTCTGTGGTCATGACTTTCAAAATTTCGTCTTACCTCGTTTCCACCAACACAGAGCTGGTGCTGGGCTGGTTCTCGCTTGGTGCCTTTTGAGAACCAGCCTGCATTTCCACCGGTTTCAAAAAAGAACGGAACAGAGGTGAGCTGGACCTCTGGCCGAGTCGTGGTGTGGCTGCCGTTGTACTGCATGGGGCACCCCTCATGGGCCTTGCTGGAACTGTTCACTGCCATTACTCATATCGCTTGCCTATAACTCAAAATCCTGCCATGTTTCCAGAGCACCAGCTACAGATGAGGACAGGAGTGTAGCACCTGGATTCAAAAGCACACAGTGGGTGGTGAATCTGGGGGGAGAGGGCGGGCACCTCATTAAATGTCTTAAAAAGGCACCTTTCTGGAAAAGTGGTACAAAACTTCACATCACTCATGATGAGTTCCTTCATTTCATTTTATCTCTTTGGAAGTCTATCTTGCTACCTAATTTTTAAAATGTGATTTGAATTAATCAAATGCTTCTGTGGAGCTAGAAACAATTTTCTTTGTTCTATATTGATTCACTGAGTAGCTACCATCTATGGCCTTGAATTGCTTCACCGGTGTGGTAGTAGTGTGGGCTGACAGTGTGTTTTCTAGACTTGTCTGCCTCCGTCACATTTGCTGGGATGAAACAGACCTTGGGCCTCCAAGCTTTCGTTGCATAACAATCTGAGAACAACCGCTGCTCTTCACGGTTGTGAGATGATCGGAGCCGTTTCTGGTGTGTAGACTAGAGCTTTGAAGCTCCTAGCAAGTTGCACAGTGTCAGCATGTCTTCAGTGGCCTTGTTCCCGGAACTAAAAAGTAAAACTAAAAATGCATTATGGTCATGACTTAGGATGGTAGGAATGATGGCCTATGGGGCTCCAGGGATCACAGTCAGGGAAAACGGTTGCTTCTCTTTAAGCGGCCAAACATTTAATACACTTCTGAAAGTGCCGGAGACCTGATCTTGCGGCGAGCTGGCCCCCACGGCACAGCCGGCCCTCGGCCCCCCTCTGCTCTTCCAGTTCGCCCCTCTGATGGTGAAATCCCAGGTGCCCGTGGGGCCACAAAGAGGGCAGCTGGCGAGCTCTGGGGCCAGCAGGGTTCCCGTGTGCCACACCTTCTGCAGGCCGCACCAAATTCGCTACAAATAAGCACCCAGCAGGGCTCCTGTGAGCCAGCGGTGGAGGAGCGTTCCCGGAGCCGGAGGCGTGTGTGTGTGGCCGGGGCCCCAACCCCGCTTAACAACGCCATTAAGTGAACGTGAGTGCTGGTCTGCAGCCAAGCTTGCACCTTGTTTAGTTTGGGCCACGCTAACTCGAGGCTGACAGTATCCATTGTGCGGACGTGTGACAATTTATTTTTTCCTGTCCTTAATAGAGCTGCCAGTATCTGACAGTTCAGTACAGCTGGGCTGTATTTGACTGGGCAGGTCAGGGGGGGCTGCTTTGTTTTGTGTGGCATCATTCATAGATACCGAGGTAACGGGGGGGGGGGTGCAGACAGTCGCAGGGTTTGTCCCACTCATCCCACATTCCACACGGCTATCCTGCAGTGGACGGCCTGCTGACACCCATCAGCCGCCCCCCCACTGGAGTAAAATCTGTTCCAGGTTCTGTTCGGTGTTGCATGTCTGCCTCAGGCTGACGACTCAGACCTTGGATGGATCAGGGATGTTCAGCAGGCTGTCAGTTATTAGTCTAACTAACATGATACAGTTTAAGGACTGTAGGGTTTAAAGGTGTTAATTCATATATCTCTGTTAAGGAGGCTAAAATCCTGCATGGCTCCAGCGAGACGTGTGAGGTTCGGCAGGGAGTGAGAGAGCAGCTGCTTTTAATTAAGTTAAATAGTGCGAGAATAAGAATTTCAAATATGGTCGTATGCACTACGCTCAACTTGTGAAATCTGTTAACATCTAAGATCGAACTTCAAGCTGCACTTCAGATTCTCGGTCTCTGCCAGATGGTATGTCAATGAACTTTTCATATGGTTCATGGAAATCAGCGGGGCTGGAATGCAAATCACACCTCCACCAGGAACAGCCCCTTTCACTACCTTTTGTTAAACTGACGACAGTGGGGCCATTCGGCCCATCAAGCTCGTTTGGGGAGAACTTAACTAATAGCTCAGAGTTGTTAAAATCTTATCTAGCTCTGATTTAAAGGAACCCAGGGTTTTAGCTTGCACTATACTAGCAGGAAGACTATTCCATACTCTAACTACACGCTGTGTAAAGTGCTTCCTCAAATTTGTTTTAAAATGTTCTCCCGCTAATTTCCACTTAAGGCCATGAGTTATAGTACTTAAACTAATATTGAAATAGCCATTTGGCTGAACAGCATCCAGACCCGTTAGAATCTTATAGACCTGGATCATGTCCCCCCTTAGTCTCCTTTGCTCAAGGCTAAACAGATTCAGTTCAGCTAACCTCTCCTCATAAGACATTCCTCTAAGACCAGGAATCATTCTTGTAGCCCTCCGTTGCACCTTTTCTAAGGCAGCAATGTCCTTCTTAAGGTATGGTGACCGAAAACTGGTTAACTGACAGGAAGCAGTGAGTAGTTAGTAGAGGCACAATGTCACAGTGGGCCTGCATTCATAGTGGGGTACCGCAGGGTTCAATTTTAGGACCACTATTGTTCCTAATTTACATTAATGATATTAACACCAATACATACAGTAAACTGGTTAAATTTGCAGATGACACCAAGGTGTGTGATTGTAGCAGATACTGATCTAGCAGCAGAGAGGCTACAACGGGATCTGGATTTAATTAGCGACTGGGCTGATACTCGGCAGATGAAATTTAACACAGGTAAATGTAAGGTAATTTCCTGCCGTGTTTCCACAGGAAGCCTACGTATGTGATGCCCTGCGGCACTTCCTGCTTCCAAACTGATCCTGGTCCACCGAGATCTTCAGAATCGGCTTTACACACCAAGCGATCTGCCTCTTGTCTAGTTTGTTTCGCATTCAGAGTAGGATGCCAGAAGAGAGTAATACCACACCGACTGCGAGCAGCAGATGGACACAGTAATGATAGATTACCCTGGATGATCTGGCCCAGCTGAACACAATGGCCCAGGCAGCTGCCCAGTTTACACATTCAGTTTATTATGTCTTGGACAAAGGGCAGATGGGCCACAGTGGCTGGCTGCTAGCTGGGGCTACTCCAGGGTGCAAGCGCGCTGTCATCTTTGTGCCTTCGCGAGGAGTTTTGCATTCCTCCCGCCCCGGCGTTCAATGCAAATGGACCTCCAGAGCGGCCGATGTGCTGCTCCGTGGGGCGCCTTTCCTCGCGTCGCGAGCAGGACGGGACAAAGGGCGAGCGGGGGCTGTCTCGGCGGCCGCCTCCTGAGGCTCGCGCCTTCGCTTGCTGTGCGACTGGAATGAGAAGAAAGCCGCTACTGTTCAGGCACCTGCTGCGTGTAGGAGGCCGGTGGCGGCGGCGCGAGAACAAGGCGCCCAGTGAGTGCCGCGCCATCCGGCCACCTGCCGCCACTCTGCAGCCGGGCGAACTCCCCTCCTGCGGGCCGGAGACGGCGGCTGAGGGCTCTGCACCCCCCACCCTCCCCCTTGTCATTCCCATCTTACTTCTGCTTCTGAGCTTCCTGCTGGTGAATCTGGTTCTTTGCCTCAGTGTGAGATCCACACTCAGGATGGATGTACACGTTATCCTCACTGAGGCCAGCAGGGGGTGGCTGCTTCACCACCCTATTACTGGGCCTCCGACTTTCTGGGTCCCAGGTGTCCATGGCTGTCTTGCTCTCTGTGTTTTCCCTGCTAGTTGAGTATGTTGGTCCCTGCTAGGGATGAGAAGTATCCACCTCCTTCAATGCATAGTACTGTTCGCTGTCACACTGGTGAAAGTGTGCCTGTCGGCTGCGGATTCATTCTGGGGGTATGGCCATGTCCGTCCGTGACCGAGATGCGGCTCTATACCTGAGCAGCCACCAGATGACACAGCAGGGTTCTCCATCAAGCACTGGAGGTCTTTTAAATTCACCTGCGCACCGGCAGCACGGACAGGGGGCGCTCTGCAGGGCTCCGCTGCGTGTGGCAATTCTCCGGGGCGGTCCGTAATTCCTAGCTGCTGGCTTTGTATGGTCGGGGCGCTCCACCCTCCCTCATTCAGGCTGCTCCTGCCGTGTAATTCTCTTTAAATATCAGTCTACTGAAAAGCCTTCCTTCAGAGAACCGCAGGCTGTCAGAACGACGCTTTTAAAGGGTGTAAGCGAAGGAGGGTAACTGTGCCCCCCGCAGTGCACAGTGATGTTGGAGGACCTGTTCAATGCGCTGCTGAGGTATTTAATTTGCTGTGATTGCTTTGGTCCCAGGTCAATGTCCTCATTATCCTTCATTATCCTGGCTCCGACAAGCTGCCCTCCCCCCCCCCAGCCCAGCGAAGTGTCGGTTCAGAGAGTGCACTGCGCTTGTCCATCGGGTGTTTCCAGCCCAGTGACCCTCAACCCCCCCAACCGCCCCCAGCATGGCTCTGCTGGTTCACATACGCCACGGCCCACTGCTTTTCAGTCTCACTGCGTGCTGAGGACATGCACAGAGTACCAGAGCACAATGGCCCATTGTGAGGTGGACAAGGGGGCACTGGGTTTAGTGGTGGCATTTAGAGAGGAACAGGGTGGCAGGACAGTGGGTGCAAGCCATGCCACTGAAAGCCGTGTTTCCATTAGATTAGCCCTTTTGATCCAGGTCTGGGATGATCCTCAAGGGTACAACAGCTGTGTTTGGAGGTGTGGTTTGCAGTTACTTATGCTTCTGAGTCACCCTCTGCATAAACGTCTGATGGCCACGTTTGGAAAGGAACAATGTCCCTGCTGGTGGTACCTGCCACTGTCATCCTATGCACTCACCTCATCTCTCCTCGTTTCCCTCCACAGTCGCCAGACAAGCAGAGGGCCCTAGAGGAGACCAAGAACTACACCACCCAGTCGCTGGCCAGCGTGGCCTACCTCATCAACACCTTGGCCAACAACGTGCTGCAGATGCTGGACATCCAGGCCTCGCAGCTACGCCGCATGGAGTCCTCCATCAACCACATCTCGCAGGTGGGCCCCGCCGGGCGCTACGGCCCCGAGCCGCAGGCAGGAAGGCCGAAAGCAGCCATGTTCGGTTTATCGGGGGTGCGTGACGATGCTCATGTTCACTGGTGCTCACTGACACGTTTACGCTCAGCGTCTGAGAGGTTTTCTAATGACCCGTGGCTCCCTCATGTGGCAGCAGCATGTCATTGGCCCACAGGCTGTATTTACTGACCCCCCCCCCCATCTCCGGTGTGTTTTAATGAGGCCCGTTCCTAAGAAACAGCACACAGAAGCCCCTGTGGGTTTGGACAGTGTGACACTTTTTTTTTTGTCCATGGGGCCGGAGATAGATCAGTATCGTACATTTGACTTTTGGCGAGGACAGCGGTCAAGTGTGCTTTTGCTTGTTTATTTTTTAGAGAACTTCTTTATTCCTTGACAGACAGGATGATTGAACTCTTTATGCCTGCTTGACAGGAGCCATAGTTTTCTTCGGAAACATCTGTGGGGGACACACATTGAGAGGGGGGAGAGCATTGCATTATGGGAAGGGAGCCTTCTCTAATGCAGAATGTCAGGGGCCCTTTTGGGTTTAAGCGTGTTGACCGAGCGCCAGGGCCCAGACGGGACGAGCGGCTAATTGGATCCCAGAGACGGCTGCCTGCTCACTCTAGCTAGCAAGTCTCTCCCGGCCACTCGCGGGCGAATGCGGTCTGACGCCAGCCTGTGTTAAATGTCTGCTGGCTCTTCTCTTCTTAAGGCTTGTAGTTAGTTGTTGTCTTTTTGTCATTTGGCAAAATTGGATTAAACGCCTCGCTGGTTACTGTGATGTTTGAATGAAGTTAATTCCTCAAACTGCAGACTACTGAGATCTTCACTAGCCAGACTGCAGTCTCTTAAAGTCCTGTCCATTTCTGATTTTGAGTAAAAGATCCAACATGCTGGTCAACCTGTAGCTCAGCATTTCCTGTCCTCAGTTTGTGTTGGTTCATTCAAAGGATGAAAATTCAAAAGCTCCGTAAAAACCTCCAGTCGACATGTTGGTAAATGTTCACCGGAAATGTTTGGTGGGTGTATTTTTTTATAAAGATGGACACACTGTACGTCAGTCATGTAGAACAGCAATGCCGCAGCAAACATTTACAGGTTTCCTGCTTTGCGGAAACGCACGGTTTGTCAAAAATGAGGTGCTGACATTTCTACCTCGTCCAGACGGTGGACATCCATAAGGAGAAGGTCGCCCGGCGAGAGATTGGCATCCTGACCACCAATAAGAACACCTCCCGCACACACAAAATCATTGCTCCGGCCAATCCTGAGAGGCCAGTGCGCTACATCCGGAAACCAGTCGACTTCAACATACTGGATGACATCGGCCATGGAGTGAAGGTATGGGCAGCGACTGAGGCGTTTCTCAAATGTAGATGGATACTGGCATTTTAGCCGGAGTCCAGCCTGCTTCTGTAAATGCATAAATAAATCCTTCTTCCCATAAATGCAGCCCTGATTTTTTCAGGCAGTGAAGCTCTGCTAAGCTTTGATCAAGCATTTTAGGTCACTGCTAGCCTGCATGTCCCACCCCCCCCCAGTGTTTGGTGGCTGCTGGTTCTCCCTGACAAAACGTAACATGGTGGTGAAGGTTCCCCGAGGCCTTCACTCCAGCCACCTCCAGCTGGAGAATCCCTGCCGCAGTTTGCTAGGGTATGAAGAAGAGGCTGCGTGTAGATTTCATTATTTAGGAGGGGAGGGGGTTTGGATAAGCCTGCTGTAGATGTGCGTAACTGATCCCAAGATGACAGGAAGCCCTGTTTTATGTGAAACCATGGGTGTTTAATGGCCTGTCGAAATGATCAGGGGTGAGTTTCCCGAAGCGTTCTTAGCGCTACGTCGTTCTTAAGTTCTGTGTTAAAAGATGGAACTAACGAACGACGTAGCGTTAAGAAGGCTTCGGGGAACTCACCCCAGATCTGTTGTTATATTAGCGACACATTGTTTGCATGGAGTTGGATTCTCTAACAAAGTCCTCCTTGGGGGAGGATTTTCATGGATTTTACTCTCTGCCATTTTACAACCTTCAGCCACTAACCTTTCGACTACTTTCTCTCTTTTTTTTTTTTTGTGTTGCCCGCACTCTAATCACTAAGTGGTTGCTTAGGTTCAAGGTAAGCATTATAATTGCTGTGACTTTGCTGAGGCTGTCTTATTGGTTGTCTTGCACGTAGAAGGACTGACAGATGATGTCTTTGTCTCTGCCCCCCTCCCCTCTGGGCTCCATCATGAAGGGGCGACATCCCAGCGCTGTTTAATAACAGCGATGAATCCTCCTCAAGGTTGAGGAGATCAGTGACTCAGTAAGGCCACCGCACCCCCCCCCCCACATTCTGCTATTTCGCACCATTAAGAAACCACTCATCAGGTCTAATTACTGCCCAGAGGATCTGAGGAAGATGAGGTGTTTTGCTAAGAAAGTGTTTCTTGATGATGGAGGGGAGGCAGAGAAGATATCATCGAAGGTCCCCCTGGTGTCCTTGTGTCTTGAACTACATGTTGTAAATGTGAATCATTGACATCAAAGCAGGTAACAGGTCCATCCATCGGTGATGAATATTCCACCCTCCCTTTATGCCAGTTTTTCTGACACTCGCTTCAGCAGTGAAGGACTGAAATCTGATTGACAGATCGATCTCGGCAGACTTTCTGCTGCGCCTTGGTCCTGAAGCCGTATCTGGACTATTAGTTGACTGTCCAGAGCAGGAAAGCGACAAGCCGGTACACAGAATCTGTTTGTACCAAAACTTCTGTGCAGTTTTTGAGGGCACCACTGCACAAGCGTCGAAGCAGGAGAGGCCCAACAAGCGGTCCCGTCTGCTTCTGTTTAGGGCACGATCCCAATGGCTAACCCGATTAGCGAAGCGCTGGCAGTGAGGCTGGATGGGAAGTGATGTTTCGTGGTTTTGTCTGTGCTCCTGGTCCGTGCTTGTCTGTTGTCTTGGCTGCGGATACCAGGTCGTCCGTTTTTATTGTTGGTGGTCGTATGTGTCCTGCAGCAGCTTGCGGTGTTTCACGCCCAACCACTGTCCTTTGCAGGTGAACACTCAGAACATGAAGATGGGCGGTCTCCCTCGCACAAACCCGCCCGCCCAGAAGCCCCCAAGCCCACCTGTGTCAGGAAAGGCCACCGTTGGGTACGTAAGCGGGCCGTGCCTGTGTGTGCATTTATGAGCGCGTGTATAGTTTGTATGTACCGGTGTTTCCCGGGGGCTGGTGTGTGTGGGGTGTCGCCGGTCATCTCTGTCAGTTTGATTGTACCTCATACTGACATTTCATGAATAGCTCACACCCATTGTGCCTTCAGTCACTGAATAAATGCAGTCGTCTTCCTCTAGTCAGTTGGCCCTTTGCACCACTGGATCAGGGCTTGGAGACAGATGGATAGCCCACATCTTAAAAGGCTGGGTCCCGGGGCAGATTAGGTGCCTGGCCATTGACAGGCTGGGGCCTTGAGTTTGTCTGGGTTCTTCGGGCTGTGTGTGCTAGTAGAGGTGAGAGTCACGCAGTCTATCTGGCAGGGGGGGGGACTGTTTGACCTTTAGGTGACATTTAAAGTAGCTGCAAGCCTTCTTACATTTGGGGATTTCAAAGACAGGGGGAGGTGGAGGGGGTTGTGTGTCCAGATGCAATTGGGCCAGTCTTTAAATGTGTGACATTTAGCAGACATTTTCATTGAACGTAGCTTTACTGCTTTCATGCACAAGCAACGGGATTAAAATCCTCCAGGTGGCGTTTTGGTGAAATCTTCCTCATTGCATGACAGGGCTCTTGCATTGTGGTGTGCAGTTCGCTGTACGCTTTGGTGCTGTTGACTTCGCCCTATGGTCCTGGTGTTTTGTCTGTCTTGGTGAGCAAGGTGTGTGTGTGTGTGTGTGTGTGTGTGTGTGTGTGGATGGATGGATGGATGGATGGATGGATGGATGGGATACAGTCCGGATGAGTGCTGCACTTCAGTCTCCTGAGGCTGACGTCCCTGGAACGTCCCCTCCCTCTTTCATATTTTCCAAACGGCACGTCTGCACCAGTTCACAGGTTCACCCTGCAGTAGCAGGAAGCTCAGTGCACTCCTTCCCCTGCTTCCAAGATGAGTGTGTCAGCATGGAAATGCATGCTGCAGCTCTTAATGTGGAATCCACTGTTTCTAAGATGTGAAAGTGTAGCTGTCTGCTCAGAGAGAGCCCCAGTGCATTCTGGGAGTTTGGGGTGAGAGTCAGCCATCCTGCTTCATCTTGATAAGCCAACTGGTAAAGTAATAAATACCGTTAAATGCTGAAGCACACAGCTGAACCCGGTGGGTGGAGAGAGAGAGAATGAGGGAGGGATGAGGAAGAGAGGAGCCGCCGCGGAGTGAATCACAGCACGGCTCAGTGGGTGTTTGGCCTGCAAGGTATCGATGTGCACTGTCGCCACGGTGAGGCATGAGCACGACTCCGCAACCAAGCAGCCCCCCTCGGGGCTCACAAGGGATGCTTCAGAAATACCCGCTTATTGCACTGTGTTTGAGTCTGTGTGTCTGAGCATAGATAGAACAGGGACCCCTACCACTCCCATCCACCAGTGACACCCCCTTGTTGTGTGGTATTGTTCCCCCCCACAGGCGGCACTCCCCCTATAGGACGCTCGAGCCGGTGCGCCCACCTGTGGTTCCTAACGACTATGTTGCCAGCCCCACACGCACCCTGGCGTCCGCACAGCACCCGAGCCCCGTGCGCACGGCGTCTGTTAACCAGAGGAACCGCACGTACAGGTACCTGCTCAAGGCCTAAGAGCACAAGCGCGCACACACACACACACACACACTTTCCCTTGTTTAACTCAGAAATGTTTGTGTTTTAGACATTATTTGTGCAGGGAGATTTCCTCAGACCTGGCATCATAAACGCATGGTGCCCCCCAGATCTGTGAAGCCCCCTTGCTGTGGGTGGGGGCACTTCTATAGGCTCTGACTCTCCTGCAGTGCATCACTCTGATAAAAGGCAGCGTGACTCCCACTTGCCCCCTAACCTGGCCTTCCTGGTGGCACCAGCCCTGCGAGGCTGTAATCAGTCTGCCTGCTTTACCTGGGAGCCTTAACATCGGTCCCTGACCGTCCCCAGTGAACACTGTAAACACTGTAAACACTGTAAACACTGTCCGACGATGCTCAGAGGCCTGTGGACGTGTACTGTGTTGACAGCAGCCCTGCCACTGGGCCGTTATTTGTCTCTTATTGCGGATGATGATGGGCGGGGGTGGGGAGCATACGGTGACAGTCCGGTGACAGCCTGACCCCCCCCCCTTTCCGACAGCAGTGGCAGCAGCGGGGGCAGCCACCCGAGCAGCCGCAGCAGCAGCCGTGAGAACAGCGGCAGTGGCAGCGTGGGCGTGCCCATGGCTGTGCCCACCCCCTCTCCGCCCAGTGCCTTCCCAGGTAGGCCCCCCCCTTTCGTGTGGCAGTGACGATACGGGCCGCCTCAGTGGGGCCGTGCAGCCTATCGCTGTGTGTCTGTGGCGTCTTGGTAACCGAACGGGATGCTTCCTTATCGCTCAGTTCCTTCTTTCTCTCCTGCTCCTGTCTCCTTTGCCTCCTGCTTGCTTTGTGAAGCCGCAACCACCGGGGGCACCGGTGCCCCCACCTCCCCACCAAGCGCAGTTTCCTCCGCCACCCCCGCTGCCCCTCTACCCGCCCCGTTCCCGTTCCCAATCCCCCCCTCAGAGGCCCAAAGGGCCCCGCCCGAGGCTCCTCCCCCCTCACAGCTCCCCCCGCCCACTTCTGCTGTCACCACCTCTGCTGCCAACAGCACCCCTGTGCCAGGTGAGTGCCCCCCCCCGGCCTTCGCCCCACTGAGGGGAGGGGCAGGTGCATGCACTGAGGAAGCCTCAGGCCTCCCACACATGCTGCGCTTTGGACTGGTTTTGCCGGATCCTGCCGGCTCTGGAAGCCATTATTTCCAGCTCCATCTTCACCTCACCACCCTGCCCCTGGAATTCGAACCACGCTTCCAGCATGACGGCGGCCTGGTGATCCCAGATCCCACGATGCTCTGGGAGGGGGCTGTCTCCTTGGAGACAGGCCTGTGCCATTTCAGTGTGCCCATCACTGGCTGCACCCCATCCTGACACCGAAATACCCTCCTTCTCATCCATGTTTGTGCTGAGTTTGTGCTGTAATGGTGATATCAAGCCTGCCTCATTCTTCACTGGTGCCAAAACGTAATTCCTCCCACACTCACTCGCACACAACTCCAGGCTGCACCCCCTCCTTGTCGTTTTGACCTCTACTTTTATCTGCCTGATAACTGCCCCTAACTTTTTCCTGGGCATTTGCAGGTAGTAGTATCGTTCAGATTAAAGAATAGTCTGGAAACCCTTAGATTAGAATTAGAATTTAGTGATCAGTGGTCATTGTCAACACACCACAGCACACAGTGCGCAACAACGAAATGTGTCCTCTGCATTTAACCCATATGTGACTTTCGTGACATAGCAGGGGGCAGCTTAATTCAGCGCCTGGGGAGCAGTGCTTGGGGATGGTACCTTGCTCAGGGTACCTGAGTGGTGACTTGCTGGTGGGGGATTCGAACCTGCAATCTTTCAATTACAAGCCCTAACCATCAAGCCACCACTGCCCACGGTACACTTGCAGGCCGAGTCTGTGTGCGTGTGGGTGTGTCCACTTCCTGTGCAGCTCGTCTGCCTGTTTCCTGCTCATCCTGAACCCAAACGGCATGAGTGTGTTTGCCAGCTGGATCCGGCTCTGCTCTGTGTTGCATGCTAGTGTACTTGGATCCCTTTGGCTGGTGATTTATGCTCAGAGATGTTAGGCTGTGGGCTTTGGAGAAGATCCTGGCCTGAAACTCCACTCTCAAGTCAGCCGTTTGGCCTCCTGCCCTTTTCCAGAATGAACTTGCTGATGTGAAGCTGGTTTGCACAAAATCTCACACGGGAAACAGGGTAGTAAGCAAAATCCCCTGAGGACCTGAAGCGTCACCCTGCACAGATAGCTGAGCTAAAGTCTTTAGTTACTCTGCAGATGTCTAAGGGGAATGACCTGGGAACTGTGTAGTTAATTTGATTAAGCATTTAAGAAGCCAAAGACTTCAACCCGCATGCCTGGCTGGTGTGGAAGAATGGAAGTAGCCGTTCCTCAAGCACATCGTTTAGTAATGACCACTGCCTCCTACAGGCCAGCAAAGCACACTGCAGCACCTCTCACTGTCGGCGTTCTGTTTTACAGGCCCCGCTGCCCAGTTCTACAGCATGAACCGGCCGGTGTCGCGGCATGGCACCCCCGCGGTGGGGGGGTCCCTGCCGTACCGCCGGCCCCCATCTGCTACGGGCCAGCCCGGCCTCCCCCAGAACCAAGTCAATGGGGGGCCCTACTTCAACCAGAGCCAAGGTATGGAGAGCCACTCCCTCCGAGCGGTCACCTGTAGTATTAGATGCCTGCTTAGTGTTTTAAATTATTTCATTCTTTTTCAGAGAGAATTTGTTTCACCTTAATACTGTGTAATTATACCATGGATTTTGGTTTGTGCCCCGCGAGACTAACTGATGTGATCATAGCAGCTCTTTCACTGTTATGGCTGTGGGGGTTGGGCGGGCAGTAGATCCTAAATGAGCCCTTTTTAGCGAGTGTGTGGCATTAGGCATTGATGCTAACTGGCGGTCACTGTAGGCTGCTTCCCCTCTGCCGTGTAGAAGAGCTCTGTTCCTCACAGCGGTTGTCCTTGCACCAAACTAACCACCTGCCCTCTGTCTCCCCAAACCCCCCCCCCCTCATCCATCTTCCTCACCTCTGCTCCGCCCACCCAATCACCCCAAACACCCGGCCTCGCGCATGTTGTCGGGGGTGGGATCGCTGGAGAGCAGGCTCGCTCGCTCCCCCTCCCCCCTCCATCTTGCAGATCACTCCACAGCTCCCCCTGGTGGGCTTCGTGGCTCGGGTTCAGGAGACCAGTAAGTGGCCACGAACTGCCGCCCCCCAGCTGCGGCCCGCTCCCCGGAGGAGCCAGTGGGCAGCCCTGTCGCCAGCAGGTGGCGCTCAAACACATCAGCATGCCTCGCTTAGTGTGAAACCTGTGCCAGCCTACATCAGACGTGATGCTCGCTAAACCCACGTGCAGCACGGGGGGGGGGGGGCGCTGCGTCACCGGGGTGAATCCCATGTAGTTCTGCATGGGGGAGAGCATGTCACTGACTATCCCAGGAGCCCCTGCTGCATCTTTACATGCTTTACTTTGTTCGTCTTGCTAATTGTCTTTATCGTTCATGCTCAGTCTCAGACGCGCCTCCTCCACCGCCTCCTTCCAATGAGCCGGCATCTGAGCAGTCGCCCCCACCACCGCCGCCTCCTGAGGAGTACGAGGAGGAGTCGGCTGTGGTGGAGTACAGCGACCCCTACGCGGAGGAAGACCCGCCGTGGGCCCCCCGCACTTACCTGGAGAAAGGTAGGCCTTCCTCCGCTGCCTGCGCTCATTCCCTCCCACCTCTGCTCCTTTGGTGCTGACCCTCACTTCTCCGTTTGCTCCCCGCGTTCTGACGGACTTCAGTGGTGGCCATCTACGACTACATGAAGGACAAGGAGGACGAGCTCTCCTTCCAGGAGGGAGCCATAATCTACGTGATCAAGAAGAACGATGACGGCTGGTACGAGGGCGTGATGAGCGGAACCACAGGACTCTTCCCTGGGAACTACGTGGAGTCCATCATGCACTATGCAGAGTGACCTGTAGATGGCGTGGGAATCCATCCAAAACGGCGTATACATAATGGATCGATGTGGGCCGCCATCGCTGCTGGGAAGGGGTGGGGTGCTTATTTGAACAGGGGTTCGAATTTTAATGTGATGGAGGGGTGTATATTTTAAAGATGAAGGTTAGTGATTTCAGCAACATAACATGAAGGACGGTTGTAAAAAGCCATTGTATTTACATGTGCTGAAGTGGATCTTTGTGGATATGGCCAAACTATCACCTCTTGTTACGGCGGAAAAGGCAAACCTCCGGCATATTTTTAATCAATAGCTCGGCATTCATCATCTAAAGCTTGGCTGGCAGGCAGCCCATGGTGGGGCTTGACCGATGTCTTGGCCTGGTGCATTGTGGGAAGGCTGGACACAAATTATGATAATGAGACGGGAGAGCCTATCCGTGTCCAGCAGCCGAGAAGCGGCCAATCCTCACTCATATGCAGTACTACATTTGTAAAGATAACCTTTTATCTATATTTTTTTATTCATTATTTTTCCTCTTCTGTTCTGTTGTTTAGTAGATCTGATCTCAGAGCTAGTGGCTTTTGAGATACTGTGTATGTAGGGTTACATAAACTGCATGCTCAAATAAAATCTTTAAATAATTTATATACATTTCACCATGTTTATTTTGTTTTTAAATAGGCTTTTCTGTCTTGCTCATGTCCTGTATCGTGTGTCTGTATGGCAGATGTCAAACTTTTTACTTGGTGGGATGTGAGTGTGGTGCCGTGTGTCTCCGTGCGTCTGTGTGCGTGTCTCCGTGTGCGTGCGTTTGCATGTGCGTTTCGCACTTTAAAAATGCTGACCAGTGTTTTTGTCCCAGTGAAAAACCTTTTGTTGGCTTTTACTTCATGTTCACATAAACACCGAAACACTAACGGGTATTTCAGCTTTTAAACACAAACACGCACGCCGAACATAGTGATCTTTTTGAGTCATTGCTCAGCTTCACCATTTGCTTGTGAATTTGCGTCTGGACTCAGAAGAGTTTTACATAAAATCGGTTCCGCTTCTTGCGGGGAGCTTATGTAAACGCCAGCCACTGTAAGCGTACCCTTGGGTGTCTGCAATAATTCTGAAATGCCTAATTTTATATGTTTCTGATTAACAAAAGCACATGGTTTTATAGACAGGACCGATTTTACTAAATCGGCGATGTATTTAAAAAAAAATAAATAAAAATTGTTTCAATACTCTGATGGAAAGAGGCGAATCAGCGCCACCCAGTGTTGGACGATAGGAAAGCAGCAGGGAAAAGGGGCCAACGCGGTTCAGGATCTTGTTCACTGGGAGCACGGATGATGGGGGGGGAGGGGGTATGCAGAGACTGAGACACTAGTGTTCGGCTCCAGGTGCAAAGCTCTTGGTTGGCTTGCTCAGCTGTAAAGGTGTGACCTTGGTGTTTGTGTTCGTTGTTTCTATGAGTGACCCCGTACTCCATGTCTCGCATGTTCTGTCGCTCTGCCCCCGCTGCCGTCTGCAGGGGAGCGACCAAAGCCCCACCCTGAAAGTGGATGCCACAGGCACGTGGCATAATGAGTGTGGACATGTGACCCCCGACTGAACCGTCATAGGCACATGAACCAATATATTGAGACGTATACAATAAAAATGAACATTGGAAATATAGTGTGACTCCTGGTGTTTTCTGTGTGTATGAGCTGCTTAGTCTGAATTAAAGCTGGGGTGGGGCGGCCAGCAGAAAGAAAACATGCTGTTCTTCACAAACTTGGTACGGAGGGGCAAAGACTTTTTTACACTCTGCCCGATACAGGTACTACTTAAACTTCGGCCGTGGAGGGACTGAGAAAGTATTTTGCTCCCAGAGTTAACGCGATTGCGGAGCGGCACGAATTCCGCCAGAGAGCTCAGCGACCCGATGAGACAATCAACCAGTTTCTAGCTTCACTACGTGAACTTGCCACAGAGTGTGACTTCGGTGACACGGAGGACCAAATGCTGTGCGATCACCTGATAGAACGCATTGCTAATACACGCATACGTGATAGACTTCTGCTAGAATCACAACTGACCCTGGATAAAGCCACTACATTAGCTTTACAAATCGTGGCCGGATTACGGCAGGCGGACGTTCTCTCCAGCGCGACTGCTGCGGCGGTGAGGGCCACGCCAAGGAGGATGGAGGAAGTCCACTTCACCCATCCATGAAAGGCCGTGTCCATGCCAAAATTCACTGCGGCGTGTGACAATTGTCTGGAATTGTCACTGCTACGACAGCAGACACAGGAAGGATGGCCTACCCGGAAAAAGAATGCAAGTTCTGATCTCGCCCCATTCTATAGTTTACGAGATTAGCTGGCTGTACATAATTCCTTAGTCATGAGAGGCATTGATCGCTTAATCACTACCTCACTGGGATGCAAAGTAGTAGACTTGGCACACGAGGAGTGCCAAGGGATTGTTCATACTTAGCAGAGACTGCGTGAGTTATGTTGGTGGCCACACATGGACAAATATGTGACGACCAGAATAGACTCTTGCACGGCCTGCCAATACAATGACAGAAGGGCAAGGACGGCGGTTGTGCCGCTCACACCTATGGAACTGCCGAATGGGCCTTGGGAAAAAGTGGCTATTGATGTAACCGGTCCTTTCAGCTGTGCTCAATGGGACTGTCGGTATGCTGTCTCTCCTACAGACTATTACAGTAAATGGCCGGAGGCAGCTTTTGTCTCAGTTTTTGGCTTCTGTGTTCAGCCGTGAAGGAAATCCTGCATACTTGGTCTCTGACAATGGGTGTCGGTTCACATCTCAGGCCTTTTTCACATTTTCTGAGGGAGAGAAACAATAAGCACTCGCGTTCCAGTGTTTACTATCCTAGAGCAAATGGGGCTATAGAGATATTCAACAGGGTGCTGAAGGACTGCATACAAACGGCAGAAAGAATGTGCCTGGAAAGAAGCAGTAACAGGGTCCTTAGAGAACGTCTGAGTGACACCACATGCTACAAAAGGAGCGACCCCATTCCAGCTGCTGAGGAAGAGAAAGATGCACACTAAACTGAATGTTCTTCCCGTCTCAAGACCGCCTAAATCACATGGAGAAGTGAAAGAGACAGGAGCAGCAGAAAAGTAAGGGGCACACTGATAAGAAGAGAGGGGCCAGAGTACCAAAGTTCCAAGTCAACGATATGGTTCCTGTCCGCAGACCAGAGCACGTACAAAAAGGGTCACCCAGATTTTCCGATCCTTTAACAGTTGTGCGGAAAGTAGGACAGAGTACCTGCTTAGTGACGGTTGGAAGTGGAAAGCATCTAAGCTGACAATGGTGCCGAAGCGGACTTCACTTTGCACCAGTAAAGATCAGGAAGTTGTACTGGACGGACTTACAGTACCCGAGAATGTTCTTCCTGGGGTACGTGAACAAGAACCAAGAGCAAATGTAAGATAGAGAAACCCAGCCCAGTGGTTCCAAGATTTTGTAAGGGAAAAAGGGTACAAGTCATGTTTGAAGTATGCTGTTCCTAAGTGAAACACGATATACATGTTTGTGTATCTATGTTGTGGGGAAAAAAAAGAACGGCATGAACCTATTCTTGCTAATACAGTTATTCCTATGTTAAAGAGGGTTGTTCCTTATGCACAGTTAACAGACTGTTATTATTACAACCTTATGTTTAAGTGTACTGAATCTACTGATTTCCTTAGGGTACAAATTCTTTAAAGAAAAGGGGAAATGTTGTGTCTTGTTATGACAATTACTGACTGATAGATGGCACTAGCAACCATAACGGGTATTAGGGTTTTGCTAGGTTCTAGAGAGGGAAGAAGAATAAAAAAGGTTTTTGGTGAAAGCGGTACTCGTCTCAGCTGGGATGTTTTTCATTTAATTACTAATTACTGGGTAATTACTGGGGGGGGGGAGGCAGGGACGGACCCACATGACCATAAGGAGAAACTGCAAAGTCCACACATACAGTGATGGTGGGATTTGATTATCCAACCGTGGAGGTGTGAGACACTGCCATCCATATTTACATAATTTAAAATTAAGTCACAGATGAGATCACAATCTAAGGGAAGGAAGTGATTGTGTGAATCACCCAAACATGAATCACGCTGCCGTCGGTCGAGAGCCGGAACCAACCTTCCAAATGTCATAGATCTGCTGGGATCACAACTCACCACCACCCCCCCCCCCTTACTGCCTCGGTGCGTGGAGACAGGAGCGCTGATACACACATGTTTTTGGTTCAGTTACAAAAGGGATTTCAAGGGCCACATAATTGTTAATAGTGTATCTTCTCTGTAGTTTAACTGTAGCAGTGATTATCCGAAAGTGTAAATACTAATATTTCTGAAGCAGCAGTATTTTCACGCAGTCCCTGTATTTTGCCACAAACCGAAAGACGTCCGATAAGATCGCACTAAAAAAAGGCTCCCCGGGAGATGCCATATCGAGGGGGTAAAATGCGCCAACCTGCGAAGAAAAATAAATCCTTCCAAGATTGGCTTTATACCCTGGCACTTGTTCTTTGGAAACGGAGATAAGGCCACGTTCACTGTAACTGACGTGTGATGGACATGTTCTGACGGAGGGTTTGAGTGCGTGTGATCAGACAGCCTGGTGGGGAACAAAAAACACTAACGTGCAAAGTACTAATACAAATGCACATCATCAATTAAATCACAAGGACACATTAACAGGGGCAGCAGTGGTATTTTACCCCGTTATACTGAATCGAGTCACAAATCCAAAGACTTTTCATCTGGGCGAACTTTAAATCCCTGGTCGCTCTAATGGCAAGTGGCTAAATCCAACTTTTAATAATGTGTCCATTTCAGTTATTTCATGTCCTTGCTAGCAATGACTAACATAACAGTTAGACCAATGACTTTCGTCAAATCGATTAGCATTTTATTGGCTGCCATCAGCACCAGCCACCCTGATCGTGCCCCACAGGTTATTATTGAAAGTGCGGTGAACATGCGTATAGTTTTCAGCTGCTCAGAGACGCTGACGTGCCGGCCCTATGCGCACCAAAGGAAGGCAGTTAGGGAGAGTCTTGACTTTGATATAACAGATAGAGCAAGATATTTTGAATGCATGACAACGCTACCATTGTCAAATGTAATAAATGCACAACAATATTACTTGTGAAGAAAAACATGTAGTTACACTGAATTACTGCTCATGTCGTGCAGCAGTGCTGAACAGCGACATCTGGTGGAGCCTGAGCACACCGGCCCCTAATGTAGAGACACCACTGACCTCAGGTCCTGGGCTACTCGACCGGGGGTCAATGGAGAGGACCGAAACTACCGTACCAAATGTGCGGTACCGGGTGTGGAGGACAGACGCCCTAACATTGCATGTGAGCTGAAGACTGTTTGATCTGCACACCTGCGTGACCATTTATACCCTCCTGGGCAAAAAAACAAAAATACAAAACAAAGCTTAATGTTGTGCAATTCATGTTTGGCCCATTTTTTTAAAAGAGGAGTGTACAATCATTCATGCATATTTTAAAGTGGATAGCAGTGACCCTGGTTTTCCAAGAATCAACCATTTACACAAAACATTTTAAATTATAGGCTACTCGATATGTCCTGAAAATTATGCCTAGATATCTTGAAAATTGAATGAAATTGTTTGAAGAAATTGTTTCTTCAAACAATTGAAATAAATCTGCAAATAAGGTATGCAATACCATGCACAAGCCTTAGGATGTCAAAGAAAACAATGTTTAGATCTTTATGGTGGTGAAAAACTGTCTGTCAGCATAGCCATTCAAAATCTCTCCTAAAGTCACGCCAGTATTTACAGCCATACAACCATCCAATATACCCCTGCATTTTTTTGACTTGACCACTAGCACAACTCTTATGGCTAATCAATACTTCATTACGTCATTTAACAAATTAAGGTATTTAACTGAAATTATTTAAATGCAATTGCTGAGGTGCCCTTAAGGAGAGGTTCAGGAACCAAAGCAGTAGTTTTCTAGCTATCCATAAAGGTGAGAGTAACCTTTTGGAAAAATAAACAAGAAATTGTTTTTTTTCTTCCCGAGAAAATATACGGTTACTTCCCTGATAAACAATTTAAAACATTTTCTGTGACTGCGTAAGACTTTTGCACAGCCCTGCAGATCTCTTACAAACTGGGTACCCTTGGTTCACAGGTAACAGCCACCAGTCTGCAGAGATGTCAGTCTTCAGCACATAGCCGCCTGATGGCCGGAGCCGTTTCCCGCTGCTAAGAGGGTCAACTTTCATGTCATCAAAATGACCCTTTAAGAGGCCAGGAGACCTCATCCATATTCACCTCGTCTCCTTAGTGACGCACTTAATATTCATAAGGACAGCGGCCACCTGAACTGCCGTGTTTAACGATAAAAGTGAGGCGAACAACTACTTCAGAGACGTTAAGGGAATATTTATCAGAACGACAGAATCAACCTCCGCCGTGTTTAAGAAATGAAACAAGCTTCAAGTACCATTCATGAAGTTGTTTGTGTGGCACTAGATTGTGTTGCCAAAATTCTATCAGTGTGGATCAGTGTGGGGGGGGGGAAGCAAATTACAGGATGTCACTTACTGTATTGATGTTTGTGACACTGGTTACTGCTTGAACAGGATCTGTTTTCTCTCCCAACATTTCTGTCTCACTTCAGCTCCTAACTTTATTACATATATTATATATAAAACACTTGTCACAACAAGTTGGTTTTCAGGTTGGAATCCCTCACAGTTGCAGGTTGTCAAGCAGAAAGCTTGATATTTCTTCCCAAGATAAAGTGGGGCTGGTTTTTCTGCACAAATTAGAAGGCATTCAAAACAGAGAAAGTAGAAAACGTTTCCTGAAAACAAGGGCTTCTTTCTTCGCAGCCGGCGGGTGTCAGTGGGTGCTGTTGTGCTTTTAAGATCAGATCCCAGCAATACCTGCATGGCTGTTCTGAGCCACTGCAGCTCCTCCCTCCCCAATCTGATAAGCGGAGGACAATGTGAAGCTGCTCAGCCCCCAGCCCAGGTGGCGGAAACGCTTCAGACAAGAGGAGCACGTGTCACTTTAGGACAGTGTCAATCATCTAAAATCCTCACGGAAAATTCCAGCAACAGTAAATAGCCGATATAACGAAACAAGAACTGGGACATTGTGAGGTATGATTTAAACATTTATATTTACTTTATATGCATTTTATTCTATTACTCCAATTTTTATATTTTAAGGGATGTTCCTGACTTTAAATAGCTCCTTTGGCCACCTAGTTCAGATACTATACTTCAATAATTTAATACTTTGCTTAAAGGTCTGTTTGCAGACATGAAAAACAGTAACGGCAGTAAATCTGAGTATAGCTATTCATGAATAAAAACAGGGAATATTTGTACATGGTTACGTGAAGCACCAATTACATTAATCAGTCCTAAGTCAATCAAACCCCCCTTTCTTGCTTTTTCATACAGTGGTCCCAGTACTGGGATGAGCATTTGACACCCCTATGGCTCAGAGTGCCCCCCCCCCACAAAGGCAGGCCAAAGGGAGCCATATAAAGGCAGGAACAGCAGCTCTATATACAGACAGACTGCGACGTGACCGACAACACGGTTTGCTGAAGCCATTTTGGCCATCAGAGACAGAACATGGGGAAACCAGACTGGCCGTTGGCAGGTGCAGGCAGACGCCTCTTCCTGTTTCATCTCCACATTATTAACAGTCAACATCCCTTTTTACTACTTATGTGACACATATGAATGGATCCCAACCAATCCGGTGCAGAAAGGAAATTGGCCAATCACATTTCTACAGTCCTCTGGGACAGGCGTGAGGATCCAGAGCTGAAGCTGAACCCCCCCCCCTCTCCCATTACCACATCTTGAAACCATCCTCCACCAGTGTGACCGGAGTGGGCTGGTCCTGGGGGAGGACCATGCCCCACACACTGACACTGAATCCACAGGATTAACCCCCCCCCCCAAACACCTGTGACAGACTGTTAAAATTTATTCTGCAAATTTTAGAACTGAAAATTTTAAAAAGCATATTAAATAATGTGACATAAAAAAGTAACTCTACCACAGACATACACCTCCCCCCCCCATCCCTGTAAAGTCCTCGGCAGAGTCCATGCAGTACCAAAACACCGACACATGTAAGGGGGGGTCGTCCCGCTAGCAGGGCGCTAGCTGCTTATACTCGCTAGGAAGCCGCACAAAGACACGGGAAGCCGCTATAACGTTTGGTTTGCTCTTTTCGCATAATAAGGTAGCTATTAGGTTAGGTTAGGAACAGAGAAATCGGGCACAGAACCACCCCCCCCCCACGTACACACACACACACACACACACACATTAGCACTCCCCGGTCAGTTTGGTGTTCTGGTCCCGCTTGGGAGGCGCCGGGGGGGGCCCGCGCCGAAGCGTTGCATAGCCTGAGATGTTTCCGGAAGCGAAGCCGCCCTTGCGCTTGTGGTCGAGTAAGAGCTCCGGGGGTGGGGGGGGCAGCAGCGCCATGTCGTCCATGGTGGCCACCGGCTCCAGCTTGGTGGAGATGCGGGCCGAGGTGAGCGAGCCGTGCCGGGTGACGGACTTGCGCTTAAGAGTCCGGTTCAGGTCCTCCAAGAAGTTAGGCTGGAGGGACAGAGTGCCTTTGGGCGACGTGGGGGGCAACGGGGAAGCGAGGTGCGGCGGGTGCCCTTGCTGCCCCGGGGGCGAGATGAGCTGTGGCTCGGGGGTGGGAGTGCTGCGCCGGGCCAGCGTGGGGGGGGGCGTCTTCTTCTTCATGGAACTCTGACTCCAGGTGGCAGGGGCGGGGGCAGAGGGCACCTGGGGCTGAGGGTTAACCACAGCCACTCGAGGGGCACCACTGGGGGTGTCTGCGACGGGGGGCGGAGGGGGGAAGAGCTCCGAGTCGGGCGGGGGAGGGGGGAAGTAGTCAAAGTCCTGAGGGGGGGAGGGGAAGTCGCCGCTGGGCTCAGTGTGCTGCCCCACCTGGCCTTGCAGGGCGGGGGGCAGGTTCGCTAGGTTGAGTTTGCCCGGTTTGGGCAGCCCTGGGGGGGCCGAGAGGGGCTCCTTAGAGGGAGACCCCGAAGAGGGGGCCGGCAAGGTGGGTGTGGGCGTCTGGCCAAAGCGGCTCATCAGGTTCTCCACCTTCTTGTACTCCTGGTGCTCCAGCGAGCTACTGGACTTGATGCTGGAGTTGCGCTGGGGAGTCGGTGGGGGCTTCCGCCCTATGGAGCCAGCCGAGGAGGCAGAGGGCGACTTCTTTAAGGTGGGCATAGGGTGTGGCAGCGGAGTGGAGGTGTCCGGCTCAGGCGGGGGCGGGAAGCCGAGGCTGCTCTCCGGCGGGGGAGGCGGGAACTCCGGGGACTGCTGCTGGGTTTGGCCCACTGGCTGCCACTTGGGTTTTGTTTTGATCACTGGGGGGGACAGGGGGGCAGAGTATCTAGAACTTTCTAAGGTGCTTGGTACTGGTGGTGATGAGCCTGGAAACTGGTTGGCCATCTGCTTCACCAGGGAGGGGGCAGTTGATATGGGGATAGACAGAGGCGGCGCCTTGGAGGAGAAGCTGAGCTGCTTAGGCAGCGTGGGTGGGGGCTGGCTGGGTGTGCCCCCCCCGGAGTAGCTCTGCTGTTTCTTCATGGTTGGAGGCGCATTGGGAGGTGAGGTCAGGGGCTGTGCTGGGGGGGGAGGAGACACAGGGGATGTGGGCTTGGGGGCAGTATGTGGGGGGAAGCCACCATAGAAGAGTTTGGCAGGTGCGGGGGGCGGAACCACTGGCTGCTGAGGAGGCACAGGAGGAGGTGTTAGGGCAGGAGGCGGCGGTGGAGGAGGAGACTCATCCTGATAGAGAGGTGGCGGGAAATCTTGGGGCAGGGTGGCAAACCGTTGGGCCAGAACATCCTGGTGGCCATTGCTGCAGAGTGGTTGGTACATGGGATGGCCTAGAGGAGGGGAAGGGAAGGCGCACCCGCTCTCCATGGCAACGGCAGGGGGCGGCAGCTGGGCTTGGCTAGGCACTGGGGGCGTGAACTGAGGGGAGGGGCTGGGAGGGCCCAGCTTCAGCACGGCCATGGCAGAACCAGGGGTGGGCATGGTGAGAGGCGGCGGGGGCGGGGGAGGTGGCGGGACGTTGGCCGCGTTGATGCCGTGCAGCGCGGGCTTGATGGACTGGGGGGGCGGCGCCGGCGGCTGCTGCTGCGGCAGGATGAGGGGGGGCAGGCGGTACTGCGCCGCAGCGGCTGCCGCCTGCGAGATGCCCTGCATCCGCGAGATGGTGCTGTATTTGGTGAACGGGGCCGGGGCTACTTGGTGGGCGGAGCCAGGCAGCGGTGGGGCGGGGGGAGGGGGTGTGGTCGCCTGGGGGTATATGGCCGGGTAGCTGCTGCGACCCTGTGGGGGCGGCTGCGTCACCGGGGGCATCTGCGGCAGCGGAGGAGGGTAGGGGCCCCTGCAGGAATCCACTCTCACCTGCAAAGACGTCAGAACGTCAAGATCTTCATGGTCAGAGTGAAGTACGGCTTCCACCGGAGCCCAGACACGGCCCCGGAGAGAGAGACCGATGCTGGTCAGACATGTATGTGCGTGTTATGACTATGATGATATACTTCTGATTTTTTATTCTATTTTCAAAAGCTGAATGACCAAACTGGATATTCCAAAGTTTAGCTTAGCATGTGGTGTCAATTACTTTACAGGGAAAAACATCTCAGAGTTAATTACTTTGCTGATGCTGCTGTCCCAGGAAAATAGCGATTTGTTATCCACGTGATCGACTGGATCTCTCATGATCTGGAGCGGGGGGGAGACCATGGAAGGTTAAAGATTTAGGCCCCCGTGGATCAGGGCAGGCCTCCCTAACGCTACCCTGCGTGCAGCATCCCATGGGGAGGCAGAATCTGGCCTGACTGGTCGGCACGTTTTACACGGGGGCCGCGCAGGTGATAAAAGACATGAGGAAGCTGCCACTCAGTCAGCCCACTAACGAGACTCGACCTTCGACCCCTGGGTTGACAGGCGGAGATGGCAGACATGGGAATGGCCAGGGGACGTAGAATCACCACTTTTTACTCACAAAAGGCACAAACTTCAAGACAAAGTGGGGCAACTAAAATAAATCCGAAAGTCACTCACAAGAATCCCTAAAATCTAACAGCAGGAAGTGAAATTACAAAGGGAGAGACTGACATAGCAGGCCTGCAATGATAAGACATGGGTGGGGAGGTCAGTAGCCAATGAGAGGCCGAGAACTGGAAGGCGAGGCCTACCTTGACGGTGTCCTCAGTCTGCGTGCCTCTCTTCCAGGCCTCCGAGAAGATGGAGCTGACCACGCTCTGGGAGCGGACGTGGCCCGAGGTCACAGTGTCGGACACGCCACTGTCCGACTGGGTCGAGTGGTTGGAGTGCGACTCTGTTTAAAGGATAAGACACACATGGTGTTTGTGGCAGTGTGTCCCCAAGATGGGACAATAAATGGCACCGGGGGACAGTCGGACCCCGCCCCACCTGGCAGGCTAGATGAGCTGGAACCAGACTTCATGCTGGAGCCTGAAAGGGACGCCCAGTCGTAGGACGCCTCCGTCCGCTTCATGGCCTCCTGGTAGTTAAGGTACAGCTGCTTCCCATACTGAGGAGAAGAGAAGCAGGGGGTGGGGCATGGTGAGACCAAGCTGAGGAGACTCCGACCCCCCCCCCCCAACAACACTCTCGGGAATTCTCAGCTTGAAGTCTCAGGTTTAACTGCCAAGTGAAGATTTCAAATATCGTCAAGATATATTTCTAGGTTTCAAATAACGGGCTGCTTCTCATTAGAGTCGTTAAAAACACTGAGCGATCTCGCTCCGTTTATAAAGTGACAGACGGCGTCTGGGTCGTTCAGTCGCTCAGAAGCATTTAAGGAGACCTTGGCGATGCGGATCCCATTCACCCACTGGTGCAGCGTCCGGACGTCATCGCAGCACAGGTACTTGATGTACTGGGACTTTTTCTGGATTTGCGGATGCTGCAGGGAGACAGACTAGCATTCAGCTTCTCCACAGTGGCCGCCCCAGATGCATCAGTTTAAATAAAAATGCACTGCAAAACACTCGTGATCCACTAGAGGGCAGCATATGGCCAGAAATTTTGTTCAGTGCTGCTGCTTCTCATGCATGGAATCGACAGGGTTGATGACAGTAACAGAAGTTACTCCAAGAAATGAGATCCTCACTGAAAACCTATCCAGTGCCAAACACAATACGGATACAACTTCTGTCGAGGGAACAAAAAACACATTAGAGACAAAACGTTACCTAAGCACTATCAGTGAGGAACTGTTTTTATGCAGATATTCCATCCCGTGGTCCTTCCAGACAGGAGTCTGTTTACATTGGACCTGAGTGCACTGCTGTGACAGGTGGGCAGTGAACAGTGTGCCCAAACACACTCCTGCCTGCCGAACCAGCGGTCGACGAGGTCGCCTCTCCTGGGCAGCCTGCCTGCAGAAGAAAACTCTACCCCCCCCCCCTTGCTGTACTTGGCTTAATCTTATCTGGGGGGGGGGGGGGGGACTCTTTGTGCACAGCGATAGGAG